TTTAGGGAAATCACTAGATGAAACTAAGAGTAGTGACTTTCAGATGAAGGAATGAAGCTGCCTATCAGTAATAATGACACCTGTTTGCACTTCTCAGTTAGTATTGTGGATGAATCCTCTGTTCCTATTGAGCTGTTTGTCCTGCACTGTTTATAGTTTTGTCTTCCCTATAGTTCCAATGGGGAAAGCAGATGAAAAGACCCTGCAGTAACCACAGATCTCTACAATATCAGAACAGGATTCAGACTGAAGCTAGTGAAACACCTACAGTCAGTTTCCCCACTCAGACTACAAATCATTACCCAGCTTTTCTGCCCTGTGATTGCAAATCCATTCCCCATATACCCTGTATCCTTTTGCAAACAAGAACCGTCCTGCCACATCAGTGGGCTGCCATGGACAGTGCCAATGCTCTATCCATTTCTACTAAGGTCCTTCTTAGAAAAATCATACTGGCTGAAACAGGATAGGGCACTAGAAGCAAGAGAAAACTTATGAAACATCTCACAGTCTTCTCAAAAACACCTTGGCCTCCCCTGGTCATCCAGACATATATTTATGGCCTATAAAAGCTATTCTGCCACCAAGAAAGACTCCAGCTTTGATGGACCTGGCAGGAAGAAGTAACTGCACACCCCAGTGAGCACCATTGTGCTGGCTTTGCTTGGCCCCAGCCCCAACCCTTCCCTCCCCTATTCCCACCTTAACACCTGTCCCATCCACTTACTGCCTCATCCCTTCCCTGATCTCCCTTGACATTGCTTCCAAATCTTGAGGAGGAAAGGCAGATCCTGACACTGGCTGGGTCTGTGCAGCAGACATTACAGGGAAGAGTAGCCTGGGAAGTGCAGAGCAACAAGTTACTGCCGATTCTTCTGATTTAGAGTAGCCACTAACATGTTGTTAGTGGTGCTTGTGCAGGGGTGCTCACCTGAGGCGCAGAGGAGGCTGTTTGCATGCCATCATGGCTCCAGTCGTGGCAGCTCAGAGAAATGCACCCACATCAACAGGGGGAGAAAACCACTCTGCAGTACTGTGTGTATTACCAAGGCTGACCTAGAAAACTGTATACTGCTCCTCTACCACCACTTGGAGAGCACGTCCACATCGTAGTAGGGGTGGGAAAGTCAGTATTGTAGTCTGACCCTTTTTTTCTGACTATAACAAATTTATCAGGCTTAAAGAAGAGAATTAGGAGTTTCCTAAACTGTACTCAAAGCACACAAAGTTGTAATGCTCTTGGACTATCAGAAATGGGCTGAACTTCAGAGAGTGCTGTACAGAAGCTCCCACTGACTGCCACTCATTTGTTTATTACATCTCTTCTCCCACTTGACAAATCTGTGGTATAACAGGACCACTTACTCTCCACTTACTTTGCAGTAAGCTAGCAAAGGAAGAAAGGAAGACAATACAGTTCATTAATCAAGTTCATTAATCTTAGAACATGAAAAACTAGAAGAAACAACAAACTTCAAGTAAATAAATTTCACGTTTGGGTTGTTTGTTTGTTTTTTTAATTTATCCTTTATTTAGTAAAAGCACCCAAAGCTGCATTATATTAACACAAGTAATAAAGCTTTCATATTTTATTCCTACCAGTGCATTTCCAAATCCAGGTGAAATGCTGGAAATAAGTAATGCTGCCATACCATGAACACAGGGTGTAGATCACTATGATACATGACTTGCAAGTGAATCCCAATGTAATAAAATGAAAGTTTAGCTGTGAAACTTGTAACTTGAGGAATTGTGGCCATTTCTATTTCCACAAAGTACCATGACAAAACAGTGGCTGTAGGATAACATACTTATTCATACTTTTTGTATCACTTTATCGAATACTCCTTCTTGGATGTACAACTTATAGCTATAATGTATGTTGGCTACAATGCTACTACGAGAATGCGTATTGCTCGTATCACAGAAAGGGTCATGAAATGTATGGACCTGTCTGCATGTTTAACAAAATGAAACGGCAATACAATAAAACTGCACCATGTGTGAATATTGTAAATGGTTAAGTTATAAAGTCATTCATTCAAAAATCCACATATTTCAATGAAAAACGTATATAAAATGTAGTAAAACATAAATTACATTTAAAGGTCTGTACATGATTCATCCTGCATACAGAAGCACAAAAACAGCACTTTGTACAGTATTGCTTGTTTTGGTCTTCTAAAGTTCAAAGATCATTTTTACTAAAGAGGCAGGAAAAAAACCATGGTTTCACATGCAATCCAGCAGTAATTGTGGTAAATCAAGTAAGTCTACAACCTCTCACAAAACCCAACACTTTTAGAATGTAGGAACATACATGTGGAGCCCTTTTCCATACTTGATAACCAATATGCAATTAAAGTTGGATTTATTAAGTTAGTGCACACCTATAATATCCCCTACAATATCCCCATTTTTGGTTAACAGTGTTTTAAGGCTGTTTGCTGCTGAAAATACACAGCAGAGAAGGAATACTTTCATCCATAAATGCAGTCAGATGATCTCATTTGGAAGCTTCTGTCACAGTCATACACTGGAAGTGATGAAAGAAAGCCATCCTCTCTCCTCTCATGTCATTCCACAAGATGCTGTGGATACTCTTAAGTTTATGTGAGTTCAAAATCATTTGGATAAATTCATGGTAGAAAATTCCATCGAGGGCTATTAAGCAGAAAAAATTCCACTTCTGGCTTGGGAAGACCCTAAACCACAAATTGCTGGAGGCTGGGGAAATACCCTGGGGAAATTCTACTAGGGAAATTGCCCTTGCAGTCTTTCCTGGGCAGACATTATCGATGGCCTTTCAAGACATGCTACTGGGCTGGAGAGACCTGTCGTCTTTCTTACTCAGCACAGTCAATTTTATGTTCAGTTTCCCTACTTTTCTGGTTATCATAATATAAACACCAATCATTATTATCAACTTATTTTTTCAGACTCAAAAAGCAAACAACAATCTCGTGTCCATTACGTCACAGAGATAAATACTACAAACTAAGCTGTCCATCCCATCCAGGGCACTTCTTTATGCTTAGAGCAAGTCTGCAACTATAGTTGGATTCCTTTATGCGTTACTGGCTTAAGCATAATTCACTAACATTACACTCACATATCATGATATACATGATGTGCAATGCTACTCTGCAATATGTTGCACAGCAACAGTACATATCTGAAAAGCAGCTTCTCTCAAGAACTGTAGGACAGTAAAAAACACTAAACCCAGCAATACTATACCATCATATTTGCAAAATCTGATGGTGGCAATGGTCAATAAACCTGGTATATCATTACTGCTGCACTTTACATGGGTGTTGCTTTTTCAGTTTTGTTTCTTTTAGTCAGATCAAAATCACTCTATTAAGCCTAAGGATCTACTGTCTCCATGCACGGAAGCGATGTGGAATTCTTAAAAACGAGGCCAAATTCTTCAGGCTTCTGATTGGATTTCTGCTTCGTCCATCTGAAGTGTGTCATTATCTCCCAGCAATTCTGTTTCAGGCACAGAGCCTTCCTCTTCCTCCTCCTCCTGAACAGGATTCTGGGCAATGTCTTCCGTTCCATTGTGTGTGTCATCCGTGCCCTCTGAAAGCAGAGCAGCCCTGTCGGCCACCGATGCATTGGAAGGTGCCGTTGTTACGTAGCCTGTACTGGTGGATCCGCTCCCGCTGTGGTGGGAGCCTGGTTTGGGAATGATCTGAGGAGGCATTTGCTGAGGAGCCATTTGCATTGGAATTTGGACAGGATAAAAATTTGGCAAGTAAGCACCATAGGCAGGCATTGGCTGGTAACCATTGACTGGAATGTAGAGCTGAGGAGGTGGGACCATCGGTCTCATCTGACCTTTCATCTGTATGAATTGCGGTTGAGGGAAAGATGGAGTTTTCTGCTTTGGTCCAATGTATCTAGCATTACTGACATTGCTAACAGGGCTTGTGCTCAGAGAACTTGTTTGTGTGGTGTTGCTTGCCCCAGAAGTTTGCGCTGAGCTGTTGTAATTAGAAAGGTTTCCCCATGTTCTTAGTCTGTTATGTATATCTTTAAATCTTGGTCTTCTGTTGGGAAATTCATTCCAACACTCCAACATCAAAGTGTACATCCATGTGGGGCAGTCATCGGGACATGGCAAAACCTGTCGGTTCCTGATCATCTCAATGACATCCTGGTTAGAATAACCACAGTAAGGCTGCAGGCCATAGCTGAAAACTTCCCACAACACAACTCCATATGACCATATATCTGAATCAATGGAAAACTTGCCATACATAATAGCCTCAGGGGACATCCACCGGATAGGAAGAAGGGAATTTCCCATCAGTTTGTAGTAATCAGCAGCATAAACTTCCCTGAAAAGGCCTAAATCAGATATTTTCACATTCAGTTTATCAAACACCAGTATATTTCTAGTGGCCAAGTCCTTGTGGACAACATGGTGGCTTGAAAGATATTCCATTCCTGCAGCTATCTGAGTCACAATGTGGAAAAAGTCTGCTGGTTCCAGAGTGGATTTTACTGTCTTGTCATCATCAGTGCTGCCAACATCTGAATGGGGAGATCTCATCACCAAGAATTCATGGAGGTCACTGTGGGAACAGTAACTAAATATCATGCTTATAGGTTGTTCCTTTGTCACTATTCCCAGCAAACAAACAATGTTTGGGTGCTGTAATCGTGATCTCATCATTGCCTCATGTTTAAATTCTTCCCGAAGAGCCAGTTCTGCCTTGTCTTTAAGGGTCTTGATGGCAACAGCTTGTGTCTGTTCACCTGGTGCTGTACCAAAGAGGTGCCCCTTGTAGACTTTGCCAAATCTCTCCTCTCCTAGTTCCTCCATAAACCGTACAGTGGACAGATTGATTTCTTTAAGTTTAGCCTGAAATGAAGTAAAGAAAGACAGTAGGAAAATCACTGTTTTCTAAACAACAGAATCTCATGTAAAAGAAAATCTCCCAGCGGTTAGATCCTCAAATGGAACAGAAATTAGGCCAAAATTTTTTGTATATTCACATCAGTATATTGATTTTATAGCTAACCTTGAAATAAGTTATACTGTTATCAGAAGTGTAAATTGAATTATGTGCAAGAAGATGAGTATAATTATTTTTACAAAGGAGTGGCCATATTTCCTGCAAACTAAATGATTAATGGGTCCAGAGTAAATATGGCAAATTATATCTATTAATTGTAGCTGCACTTGCCCTACAGACCAGTCTAGAGCTGCCCAGTGAAGGTCTGTTAGAAAACTACTGGCTGAGGTGGCAGCCTCTGTGAACTGAAACATCCCTTCCAGCAGGAGAAGGAAGGGGTATTCCTCTTCCAGGAGAAGGAACAATACCTCCCTCTTTCAGTTCTGCAGTAGTAGATACGCCCTTTCTGCTCTGTTACGCTATGGGAACAGCCCCTGCCTAGGGGCAGCAGTACACAGTACCCTTGCTGAGAAACCTTGTGCTAGCTTCAATGAAGAGGGGAGTGAAATTGAGCCAGAAGGAAGAAGAAAGAAAGAATCTCCCTGGTTTGAAGGAAGAGATTGCAAACTCAAGAGTGAGAAATCCCTAGAGCCTCTCTCCCACACCTGGGAGAGAAAGCAAGGGGGTTTGCAATGGTGATATAATGGGTCTGTCCTGCCCAGCATGGGACAGAGGAGTCCCTGACCAAGCTAGGTGTAGGTTGCACAGCTTCGCACACAAGGCACCACAGCACAAGAGAGAAGGGCAGGCTGGAAAGAGGCTTTAACAGGTGATTTGGGAACAACCTCCAATTTTAGTGGCCAACAGATTGTGGGCTGGGCTAGAAAGTTTCCAGCACAGTCCAGACTCAGCCATTAAATCTCCCTCTTATCACACAAAATCAATGCAATTTGTTACAATTGGTAATATTCATCAAATGTTCTATGGTTTCCTGAAGAGATGTTGACAATTGTTCCATAGTAAGCATAATTTTTTAGAGCTTGCATTTGTAAATGTTTGATTAAAAATTCAGCATTAGCTCTGAACAGGATTTTAGTGCAGAGATCAGTTAGTTGACCCAGAAAATCATACCCAGGAACCGACATCTGTAGAGAGGCATTCAAAGCCATTTTTATTTCACCATCCTTTTTGACATACAGCCTAAGAAAAAAGTTGCACCTCAGCTCAGCTCGCCACTCAGTTGTGGATCAGCACTCTGGCGGACTTGAGCTGATGGATTAGACAAGAAACCCCACAGTGCACTGTGCTTTAAACAAGCAAACTGGATGCGTCATTACCAGGAGCGAAAATGAGCTGCAGGCTGAAGACTGGATCAGAAATAACAACATTTCCAGTCACTGAGACAACAGGCAGAATGGGGATTGACAGGTAAGGACAAATGCCATAAAATACATTGCACTGAAAGCTGTTGCCCAAGGCCAGGATTTCTAGATACAGCTAGCAAGTGCAAGAACTGATTTTCCCTGAAACAGCATGAAAATTAAGTCCCTTACAACATGCCTCAATTTGAACACAGACAGCTAGAGATGCTGAAAATCTGGACACTTTGGAAATACGTGGATCTAAGCAAATTCTGAAAGAAATACCTGTTTGTGTTGATTAATGAGTGGCATTTCCATGTCCTGGCTAGGAGATGCCATCAGCTGGCGGCGCTGTGGTGTAGCAGCAGATGCTTTCTGCTTGTTTCTGCACATACAGACCAGGAAGAACAGGCAGGCTATCACCAGAGGGATGGCTATGCTGGGAACAAGGATGTAGAGGATTCCCATTTTGCTGTTGCCACGTGGACCTGTCAAGCACAGAAATGCTCATTGCTTAGAATAAGCATTTTAAGGCATTTGATAGTAAAATAAATTACTATGATTATTTAATACTACATTTTAAACAAAAAGTAAACTATACCTTGAAAATATAAATCACATTATCCTCTCTCCCTTCTCCGTAATTTTCCATTAAATATTTCAAAGAAGATTGAATGGACAAAGCAACTAGCGGTATGAAGATAAACTAGAAGCCCCACATTTAATGTGTTGATTGTAACAGTATGTGGTTTATTTCACTACAATTTTGAGGCTTTCAGTTGTGGAAACTGCAGAACATAGACCAGAGTATCATTGCATTATCTCATTCAGCGTATACAAAACAAGTGAGCAGTCTCTGTCACTACATAAAGCAGTGAACTCCATGGGATAAACCCCAGAACAACACTGCATTCTGGCCCACTCTCACAGCTTCAACCATTTCATCAGCACTTTGCCCACTCTTTACCTCCACTGGTACTACTTCTGCCCAGAATCAAATAAATCTCACTTCTCACTGGCAGAGATATGTTTTGTTCTGTACTTAATAAAATTATAATGCTTTTCTGTTAAGAGTGCGACAGACATGAAATAGCCATTAATACACTGAATAAGATTCTTCTGAAACCTTCCTAAAATGCTTTTTCTTTTAACACTTAGAGACTCTAGAGAAGCATAGTGATGTCCAACATGTTCGCTGGAACTGCCTGGGATGTTTTCTGTAACGCTTGGTTTTGCTATTTGTGGCAACTGCTTTCACCACAACCACATCCCAGCGTTATCTTTACACCGTGTTACATGCAACATAGAAATTTATTATAAATGTCAAATCGTATTACTGTAAAAAAGTGAAGTAACTAAGAAATATCATGTTAGTCCTGTGCACTTTTAAAGATCCAGGCAACCAATTTTTATGGATTCCATGATACATCTTTTGCTGCAGGAAACTTGATTTTCTTCCCAGTGAAGCACAGTATTAAGTTGCTTTGTCATGTCCAAAGACAGTTACCACTGTAACAGCTCTAGGGTGAAGTCTGTAATAATACAGGGAACTGAGCAGGACACTACTGAGCTCTGAGAGCTGTGGTTTTAATATTTGCAATTAGTTGTGCAGTACAGAGCCATTAGCAGGTAGCATAGGACTCTTCTGATAAGATCATCTGTGTTATGCCATCACTGCTTCTGCACTTAACTCGGTTTCTTTCCACCCAGGCGTGGTGTTATATCTCCCTCTATAGGATCTGAAAATCCTTGCTACCTGCAGGATGTCACACAGAGCAGAAGCAATACACCCTTGAGTACTGTGAGTAAATCAAGCACATGCAAATGATTCATACGTCAGATTTGGCATTTACAAGTCAAAATACAAACTGCAGCATTATCTTTAATTATTATCTCATATTAAGCCTCCAATATGTCATAAAAAATTGCCACAATATCTCAGTTACAAGCTCTGATCACCAGAAAATATTAAGTGACTACCACACAAAACAAGGGTGCTGCAAGGTAAACATTCAAAAGCACAACACTCTTAAGTTAATTGTACTTGTAGTAAGAGGGAACTAGCAAAATTACATGGGATTTGGGACAGTAGTAGGGGGAAAAAAGAAAGAGAATACATACTACAGGAAGGTATGTCACACAGTTCCATGCGTACGTTTTTATTCTTTGTAAAACACCAGGGACCATCCATCTGACCTCCAGGGTTTCGACAGTATGCGTGTCCTCCACCTAGCTCTGGAAACTGTGTGCTTGTCAGATCATGGTTGTGGGGACTCTGTGAGTCCCAGAGTTGGCAAGTGTGGCCAGATTTGGTAACGCTGACAGTCCCTCTATAGTCTGCTCCAGACCCGTTGTAGCACTGATGATCTGTAACACAGGGTTTGGGAAATTGTTGAAAAAAACCAAAAATAATTAAGGGCCAGCAAGACCAATATGGTTGAAATCCATACACCATGTATGCAAAACGTACTTTAAATTTAGGTACTTCAGGATTTAAATGAAAGCTCTTTGTTTTGAAATTTCAGTTCTGTGGGTATCTCTACTTTTACACCAGTTATTTCTGGATTCTGCCCTGGAGTGTGGAGCTCCATGGCTATATACATGAGCATTTGTAATTCTGAATGCAAGTTGGGACTCAGGAGTATGTATGGACCTTTAGCTACCAAACATGATAAGTTAAACTAAATTACAGATAGGAGTTTCACTTCAGGAAAAGTCCTTAGATGCCAACTGTGTAAACTTTCTGCCACTTTTATTTCTCATAATATTCCCATCTTCTTCACACTGCCCACTTTCTAGAAAAATTGGTGTGCTATTTGCTAAAGCCTCTTGCCTATTTTTCCTTATTTTCCTTCATAGAAAGAAAGGATTCAGGCTTTTCTTGTCTTTAGATACAACATTTTTACATCTGCTGAACTCGTATCTTCGTTTTCTGGTTTGCTGCTATGCTCTCTTCATACTTTTTAAGTGCTTATCAAGATGAGAATCATCTGAACAATGTATTTTCCTGCATGTTTGCAACATTATCTTCTCCATTTTTCTGATCCTGTCTCCAGCCCTCAGGAATCCAGCTCCCTCAACCCACAGCTGTATTCAAGTTGCATCTGATCCACCAGCAGCAGCACCATGGGCTCTGAGGATAACAGACATCTTTTGCCAGACTTTTTATTGGTTTGATACCTCTTCCCTAGCTGATTTGTCTCTGTCAACATTTTCTCAGTTACTTCTACTTCTCAGCTACACTAGATTGTTAACTTAAAAACAAACAATAAGTCTTCCATGGCCACCGTTATGCCATGACTCCTGTTGCTAACTGTGGACTCAGACAATGGATATTCAGAATAATCTTATCACACTTTGAACTTTAAACATATTTGGGCACTTGGAGTTTTCTTGTTGAACACTGTAGGGGATGGTGAGTCATTGCTAGAAAATAAGGTAGTCAGAAAAATTTTCCACACATAATTAGTGCCAACAGAAAAACCCTTCTACTCCTGGATGTAAATATAAATTCATGGAAGCAAGATCAATGTATTCACCCATCCTGTGTGGGTAAAGAAAGACAATTATACCCCATACTCAATTTACAGGATTAATATACTTGTGGATTTCCATAAAGAAAGAATGAACATTAAGGTTTTAATTTCTTAACAGAACCTCCAGTGAAGCTTCAACAGACTATTTGAGGTGTATTGATAGGTAACCAGAACTCACCAATAGATGGAGAGGCTCATCCAGAAAGGCAAGGACTGAGCCATAGGTGGAGGCAACACACTGCTGCCCCTTGCAAATCTGCATCAAATTGTCTGTGCAAACACAGGGTTTTATAGCACAGGGTGGCTGATATAACCCTTTTGGGCATGCAGCAGCATCCTTTAGGTTTCCTTGCATCCTAACTGTACCTGACAACACTGCAAGATTATGGCCACTGTTAACAAGATAAAAAGCAGTACTGTCCAGTATAGAATTACTTTCTTTACAAAAGTAACATCTCTCAGACTCAACCTGAGGAAGCAACACACCCTACTTTTTCCCAGTGATGAAATGCCCAGACTTACATCGGCTGAGTCTCTCCACAGGGATCCCGATCCTTATGCAGTTGGCAGCTTCCAAGGTGTCAGGTCGTGGGAGGTCCTCACATTTAGGCAACTGTAGCTGCATCAAGATGAGGGGGTTTGACCTAGCAATGTTGTACTCCTGCCTACAGAGATCATTCTCCAGAACTTCACATTCATCCCGGCACAGCTCACGTGGCTTAGGGGTCCGAGAACGCTCATCACACAGGGGAAACACAAAGTGGCAGAATGATGGAATAGCAAATTGTGAGCACTGATCAGACAAATGCGTCGAAGTGCCGATCATGGTAAATGCAGCTGCAAAGGAACAAAAAACATTGCTTAAGTATTGAGTCAGAAAACCAAATTAATTTTCATGTCATTTGCCTTTAACAACTTTCAACTTTTCTCGAGAATCTGAAAGTCTGCTAAGCAACAGGTATACAAGGTCATTTCTGCTGTAAAGGAGAATTGACAAATGCAGAAAGCAAACCCAGCAGCCCAGTGTCCCTCTGACATCTGAATGGACCTCGTAGAACCTCAGTCATGAGGAATTTAACCATGTGACTACCATTGCTCAAACTACTGATGCTTGGCTAAATTTAACTTGAAAGGATAAAGAGGAAAGGCAAGATACACCTGCCAAGTTCCTAATTAGGTGAAATCTGAACAAGGATCACCTAACTTCTTCCTCCTGTAGACATTTTGATTGATAAACAAAGTGCTTTTAAAGTCTTTCCAGGCAAAAGAAAGTATGCCATTGGTATTTGGGGAGATACTGCTATTAATAGACATGAGAAGCCTAACAGGTAGCATTTTGGAGAAAATGAATATAATCAGTCTCAGAATGCTGATCACATGAAGATAAATTAGGAATGCAATTCTCCCCTTCGGCTTTCAGCATCTACACACTAACATCTATCCCAAAGTTTTCTTGCACATTCCAAAGAAAACACAAATTTTCGTGTATATTGGGGGATGCATTAAGCTTTAAATGTAGGAACGTTCCATTCCCCCACTAATGCATCATTTGTGAGGGTTGCTAAACCACATGTTCCACCAACTCTCACTGTAAAAATATAGGAATTGTCATTCAGCAGTCTATTTACAACCTACAAACCAATTCTTTTCTTCTTGTCCAGCTCTCTTTCAATCATCTATTTCTTCCTGGCACATGCTTTAGGGAGTCTCCCGTCTCTTCCTAAATGCCAAACATGCACCAAGCAGCCCCAAATGCAGACTTCGATACTGTTTACACCTTTGTTCATTTTAAATCATAAATATTAACCCAGGTATATAGCTGTTCATCTGTCATGTACTGAACACTGCATGCAAGCACAGAATCGTGCCTCAAAAGGTAGCTGTGACACATACTTCTCCCAAAGGCTAACAGGGGAAAAAAAAGACTGGAGGACTGAAGTAGGCACTGTTGGCTATTTGAAACACTACACTAAGTTTTGTGAAGGTGTTGATTACAGAATTTAGATCAGCATGAGAGAAGAGTACACAATTTACAATCATATCTTTATTTTGATGAGAGGTGC